GAAGAAACCACAGCTATTGCACTTGGCTTACGCCTTACGCAGAAGCTGGCAGATGCATTATTTGTCATGAAAGATTAGAATACCTCCACAGTGAGTTCAGCAAGGACAGACCCACGAAATGTGTGGCAGAAAACTTTTATAGAAGGCGGCAAATGGGTAAAAAAAAAAGCTCCTGAATAAAAATGGCCAGTGTAGGGGCCAGGGAATATATATTGTCCATCCGATTTTTGGAGGCCTACGCTCACTTGTGTGTATGCTGGGGTCCAATGCAAACTCCAGAGAAATGCTGACAGCCTTTCTCCCGCCCATGGGATGAAAAAAAAAAAAACAGAATTACTTACAGAGGGTTTGAACCAGGAAAAGGAAATGTGCATTGATCTCAGCGCAGTCCTTTTCCTTTTTAGGGGCGGTGGAAGCATAAATTCTTCATGTTCGGAGGAAACTGTGCATTCCTGTACTATCTCAGGGCAGGTAGCTTGGTATTATTTCCCTGGCAAGTCCCCAGCTGCACAATGACACTGGTCAGCTCTGCATGGAAATCAATTAGAGAGAAATCCCCTCAGAAAGCCCAGCCAGGCTTTTAAGGGAAACACACAGTTTCCTTGGACCAATTATGGGTCTAATTTGGGGCTCTCAGTGGGATCCAGGTTGCACAGGCACGAGCAGCAAACCCATTTGCTGTGAGGAACACAATCCAGTTTCAGCTGAAAGTACCCACAGGGTGCAGTTTTGTCCGCTTCCCTTGAAATGCAGCCCAAACTGAACTGGAGATCCTTTTATTGGGGCTCCTCTAGGAGACGAGAGACTAAATCAATGAGCCTGGCAGGAAAGACAGACTTGCAAAGCTGGGCAAAATCCAAGCTTTTTAAAAAGGCACAATCCAAAAGCATTTGGTTTAAAAATACCGGATCAAATCTCAGCTTCAATCCATCACTAGCTGTTGGCTTGAGTAATTATCTGAGGACTGAGTGATGCCAGGAACTCACCGGTTTCCCAGTGGGGCAGGTGGTCTGTGTGGTCCTCTAAGCATCTCTCAAAACCTACATCGGACAGCACGTCCTTTGTGGGGCTGCCCAGGGTTTGGGAGCTCAGGGTGGAGAGGAGGGTGCTGGGTGGTAGGTGAGATGAAGACCCAGCTGGAGCAGATGTTCTCCTACTTATGGGTTCGGATGATGTCTGTGGAGGCCAGGAGGAGGAAGCAGCTTAAGGGTGGTTGTGACTTCCCTGCTTCCCTCCTCCTCCCCTGACCCAAAAGCTTCTGTAATTTAGCATGGGAGAGAAAAAGCACATGAAACACATTTTAGAATGGGGTTAGAGTAGTGCCAAAAGGGTAAAATGAAATAAATTTAATAGCTTATGATAATAAGCAAACTGGCTTTCAAAATGGCCCTGCATTCATTCAATGAAAGTCGTAAGTATCTTATTTTTATGATATATTTCTGTTTCAGAATAAACTCAACATGCCTTGTTTGTATTAAAACCTCCTTGGCACTGAATAAAATAACTGTAAAGCACATTCTTTCATCTACAAGGGCTGGTGTTCACACTCTTCACCCTTTAAAATTCATATGAATTTCAAGTTTTTCATTGCGTTAGAAAAGCAACCTATTTGATGTAGGCTTGTAAAAGAGAGATATTACATATGTGTTTTGAATAACAATATCTGGTTTCTTCTTGCAAAGGGTCGAGTGGAAATATACTCTCCATGTATAATTAGAAATGTGGAGGGCTTAGTACAAGACTATAAATGATTGCAACTGTCTGTAATGAAAAAAATCATTTTTTTTTAAAAAAAAAAAAGAGAAGCTTAGAAAATCATCAAACACATGTATTCTTGTTAACCTCATGAGAGAATGCTGTCGTTTGAAGACAGGGCGGCAGGCAGGTGTTTGCAAGGTCTGGCAGTATGGAAAAGCAGTGCAGGGGCATCAACCAAGTCAACTGTGTGGGTTGAACGATGGTCACGGGTGGCTGTAACAGCCTTATTCCCCCCAAAAACAGGCGAATTTGCAATGGGAGGTGGCTGCCACCTGCATCACACCCCTCCGGGCATCGCACCCCCCAGCGCTGCACTGGGAAATTCAGTGGGCTACGTGGGAGGAAAACCCCTGCTCTCATCTTCCACGAGATGTTATCGATGCACTCCCTGCATCGAAGAAAAGAAATCTTCCTAATCAATCAGGCACACCGTGAGATCCTATAAATAAAGCTTTCCGCAGCCTGCGACTGCCAGACTGGAACCAATGAGGCAGCTCCTCTGCTTTGCTCAGCAGATATTCGCTTCTTAGGGTGGTGGTGATATTAAAATAGACTCAAATAAAGAATTACGTCCTGCAAAGTATGTCAAATGCCATCCCCCTCCTAGCCTTACAGGTGTGCAACTGGTAAAAACTTTTGCCAGTGTAATCCATTTCCAGGATCAAGGCTTAACTCTTGCTCCCTCCTGGCATTTGCTGGAATTATTTTTAAAACTGCATTTTGCACAGTGACTAGATTTATGAGTCCCAACCACAAGTGTCAGCAGCCTGGGAGGCAAGCAGGGACCGAGCAGGGGTTAACGTGAGGGTAATTTGGGTTAATCTGTGCTGGTAACCTGGAGAGCACCTGGTAGAGACACTTAACCAGAGAGAGTAATATTGTCTTGGCCAAATAAGCTGTATCACTCTTTGCCGTGGACCACAGTCCTGTTTTGTCCCTCCTGAGCTGTAGCTAGGAGCCAGGGTCTCCCAACCCATGGGGCACGCTTAGGTGGGAGAAAAGGGGGTGCCTCCACGACACCCAAGACATTTCAGGCCAAGTCTGTGCCCTGGCTCCCGGCAGCAGACAGAATCATTTCTGTCTGCCTCACGGTGCCGGTGTTTTGGTACCTGGCATGAGTTCCTGGGACTGAAATCACAACCCTCCGTGGCACTCGGGCTCTGCTGCCAAAGAGGTGAACGTTGAAGAAGACTTGTAAATCGGCAGAGTAGGCACGTCCTCCCCCCGCTCCCCGGCGCAGGTCTGTAATCTCCTCGGGATGAATAGCTGCATAGCAACGACTTCAAAAATCCCGGGAGTTAACTGCCTGCAGATGTTTCCCTCTTTCCCCTTTTCCCTTTACTCCTTTTGGAAGAACTGAGAACCCCAGGCTGGCCCTCCTGTCCATGCCACAGCGTGCGTTGCTCCCCTACGCTACAGGACATTTTTAAACCCCACGCAACCTCAAAGATGTGTTTCTTACATGGCTTTCCCTATTTCTGCAAAAAAAAACAAAACAAAACAACAAAAAAACCACACCAACCTCTCAAGCCAACTAAATGTTTGAATTAATTATAATTAAGACTAGTTGCTGGCTCTCCCCCTGCCAGTCCCCAGGGCTTTAAGAAGTTCACCATCCCCTGTATCCTGCCCTGCTGTATCTGCAGGGTCGGGTCTGTAGGTCTGTAGCCACCCAAAGATCAGAGGCCAGCCAGGTATTGCGGCATCTCGCAAATACCATGCTGAAGGTGCTCTTCTGTATGATTAATGCTCCCCATTTCAGCCCCGCAACCTTAAAAGGTCATCTTTAAATGAATTTGGGAATGGGAACATCTGCATGTTAAACTTGGCTTCGGTGACCCAGAATGTATGAACTAGATGAGGGTTTTTAGCAGAGTTATTTAGAGGCTACTCTTAACTAGTTTAAAATACTACCAGAAAAAAATAGAGGAAAGAAATTGAGAGCGTGAGAAGCAGTGATTTGTAACATGTGCCCCTACGTGTCCCCTGGGTGTGTGGCGGAGGATGCCACTCGTGGTGTAATTAATAACTAAACCACCCCACAAGCCCAGGCATCCTAACTCTGGCGCAGAAGCGATAGCGAAAGGCGCCACATGCCACCCCCTTTCCAAACCCCCTCTCTTTTTACCGCTAAAACCTGGTATTTGTAGGGTAAAACACCGTTTCCCGCAGCCCCTCTCAGGCGGAGGCCCTGCCCTGCCCGCCCCGCCGCCAGCCCTTCCTGCAGCCTCCCTCCTCCCGGGGGTCCCCCAGCTCCGGTCCCCCCCCCGCCCCAGGTGCTCTCCCAGCCTGGCCCCGGCTCCCCCCCCACCTCCCGGGTGCGCCCCGGGTCCAGTTCCCCCCCCCCCCCCCCCCCCCCCCCCGGTCTCGGTGCTCCTCCAGCCCGGCCCCGGCTCCCCTCGCCCAGGGGCTCCCCCGGCCCCGGTTCCCCCCCCCCCCCCCCCCCCCCGTCTGGGGCTCCCTCGGCTCCAGACCCCCCGCCCGGGGCTCCCCCAGCTCCCCCCCTCCCCGTGCTTCCCCGGCTCCGGTGCCCCCTTCGCCCGGGGGTCCCCCGGCTCCCCCCTCCCGCTGCTCCCCCCATCCCGGCCCCGACTCCCCACTCCCGGTGCTCCCCCGTCTCCATTCCCCACCTCGCCCGGGGGTCCCCCGGCCCCAGCTCCCCCAGCTCCGGTCCCCTCCTCGCCCGGGGGTCCCCCGACCCCAGTACTCCCCCAGCTCCCCCGGCTCCGGTGCCCCCTTCGCCCGGGGGTCCCCCGGCTACCCCCTCCCGCTGCTCCCCCCATCCCGGCCCCGACTCCCCACTCCCGGTGCTCCCCCGGCTCCGGTCCCCCCCTCGCCCTGGGGTCCCCCGACCCCAGTGCTCCCCCAGCTCCCCCGGCTCCGGTCCCCCCCTCGCTCGGGGGTCCCCCGACTCCCCCCTCCAGCTGCTCCCCCGGCTCCGGTCCGCCCCGCCCCCCCCCCCCCCCCCCCCCCGAGCCCGGCCCCGGACTCCCCCCTCGGCGGCAGCACCGCCCCCCCGTTCCCTCCCTCCGCACCCCCCGCTCCCGCCCGCGGAGGGCGCTGCGATCGCGGGGCCGCCGCCGCCGCCGCTTCCCGCCCGCCCGGGGCCGCCCCGCGGCGGCAGCGGCTCCGGTGAGCGGGGGCGGCCCCGGGCCGGCGGTTCCCGGCGGTTCCCCGCGGCCGGGCGGGGGAGGGCCGGTCCCGGATTATCTGACGCGGCGCCTTTCGCTTCTCTCCGGCAGGACTCCCGGGAGGATGGGATGGATTTAGGGAGCGACGCCGGCAGCAGCCGCTCCAGCTCGGAGTCGAACTCCAGCAAAGCCACGCCGTGCTCGGAGGGCAAGTCCTCGCCGTCCCCCAGCAGCCTGGACCTGGCGGCGCTGGACGATTCGGAGGAGGAAGAGGAGGAGGAGGAGGATGGGGGCTACCTGCCCTCCCCGCCGGCTCGCCGCCAGCCCCCGCGCTGCCCCGCCGCCGCTGCCCGCTGCCGCTCCGCTCCCGCCCGCCGCTGCGCTTCTCCCGCCGCCGCCCCCCGCCGCCCCGCCGCTCCGCGCCCGCGGCCGCACCAGCGCCCGCCGCCGCTGCCCCCGCAGGAACGGGGGGGCGGCGGGGTGACGGGACCGGGCGGGCGGCGGGCGAGGCGGGGAGGCGGCGGAGCTCAGCCCCCCCGGGAACCGCAACCGCCGGCCATGGACTGGGCGGCCCTGGAGAGGCACCTGGAGGGGTTGCAATGCCGGGAGCAGGAGCGCGGCCAACGGGCCAACCCCGCCTCGGTGAGTGGGACCGGGCGGGAGGGAGCGGCTTCGCCCCGAGGAGGTTCCGCCGGGGGGGAGCCGGGGCTTGGAGGGGAAGAGGAGGGGATGTCCTCCCCCGGGACCGGCAGCTGGGGACGGGGGGGGGTAAGTCCCTCCCGGGAGGGAACTTCCCCGGAGCATCACTGGGCCGGCTACAGAGGTGGGTTCCCCTTGGTTGGGGGGGGGGGGGTGGGTGGGTAGGAATAGCATCCTTTCCGCTGAGGGGGGCAGCGGCAGGCTAGGGGTGTCTATTCCCCTTCAGTAGGGGGAGATGAGAACCTGGTTGTCAGCCAGGATGAAAGCGTGTTTTTTACAGAAACACCACCCCCCCAAATTGTTCCGCGGTCGCGTTACCTCCAGAGTGTTTTAGAAATTGTATGGAACTTCGGAGCTGCGGGCCGCAGCGGTGCTGAGATGAACAAGCACTGCACACGCGCCGGTTGACACTCTTCCGTAATGTATGAATTAAAAGGAATCTACAAAAATCTCCTGAACCCGCTGCAGGAGCCCTCGGATGTGATGACACACGTGATGAGAGATGTGTGCCTCACCACCCACGCCCTGCAGACTTGCCGCTGGCGTGCTTGGGTTTTGGTTTTTTTTTTTTTAAGAATTTTTTTTTTTTTTTTTAAGGCATTCCATCCCCTTACTTCCTGTGAAGTCATCTGGCTCAGGAAGGTGGGGATTTCCCCCTCAATCCTTGAGTTGCAACTAATTGGTGAGAAAGCCGGGTGGGTGCTAGATATGATAAATAAGCTGATAGAGGAGTGGGACAGCTGCCGTACAGGACGCTTTTTGCAAAGCCTGAACATGTGTAGCCTCGGTGCTCTGAGGAACTGACAGGTAAAATGCTTAATTACAGTCATTTGTGCAGAAACTCAGCTGAAAAAAAAAAAAAAAAAAAAAAAAAAAAAGCTCGCTTTTGTGGTTTGGGAGCTTATTTCTACAGCGTTATCTGATAAACTCCTGCTGCCTGAGCTGCTGGCAGCATCTCAGTGTTGGAAACTCTTTGCCTCCAGGTATGTGCTTAAGCAGGTGAGGTGTCACCTAAAGAATTCTGCCTGTTCACCTCTGTGAGGATTTTCCTCCTCTATCCTTCCCTCCTGCTAGCACAAAGGCCCTCGGAGGCATTCCTGGCGGCCTCACGCCCCGGCTTGTCCTGCCGAGAGCCGGGGTTTGCAGCTCCTGCCGCGGAGCCGCGACGGGCACCCCAGGTTTGGGTGCTGGGGAGCCCAGTGCCTGGAGAGTGTCTCCCATGGGTGGGGCTGCGCTGCCAGTCCTCTTACGCTCACAAGCAACAACTGGAGTTTTCTCCTCTGCGGAGGCGAGTTTTTTCGGTGTCTGTGACCCTGCAGAGGCTTTCCTCAACCCTCCACCCAAGCAGCAGTCCTGGAGGCACCCGAACAAAGTTTTCAGTTTGCTTTCCCAGCTTTGTCTTTGCTTCTGCGATGCCAGGATTCCCCTTCTCCTGGGGCACAGGGAGGAGGAGGAGGTGTTCCAGCTCTACTCCTTCCATTTCCCACCTGGGGCAAAGGGAAAGGGCTGTTGGCAGCAGCCCACACCCTGCTGTGAAGGGACATTTCGCCTCCTGACCAGCTCGGGGGAGCTGTTTGATGTCCCCCGCTGTCCCTTCCCACACGGTTGGGACTATGTCTGTAGCACCCAGACCTATGCCCCATGAGCTGCAGGGACTCAATGCCTTCAAGGCTAACTAAAACCAGATTGAAAAGAAAAATATCTCTTTTTATGTTTTGCTTTGTTTTGTTTTTTTTTTTTTCTCCTGCCCTTGACCTTTTCCTGTGGTTCAGTATCTTGCTATTTATAACAAAACCTTACTTTGCCCTGCTGGAAGCTCAAGTGTTTGTAAACATGAAAATCATGAAGTGAAACCAGCCAGGAAGCAACTACAGAGAAGATGGACTAGCTTGCTCCAACTGCTAGCAGAATATATTAGAAAAAGGGAAATTTTAGTATTATAGGTCTTGGTTGGTATAGTCTAAATGATCTTGTCACCAGGGATGCGATGTGAAAGCAGCTGTTGCTTTGAGTGGAAGCGTTTCTTGAGCTGGTTTGCGTTATCAGGAATCCAGGGTAGATGTTCTATTAAGGGAAATAAAATCCCGCGCAACTCCTTATGAAATCAGAGGAATTGAGAGCTCTTTCTGCTGTCAGTACTTATATTTATTTGCTTTTTATCGTGCTCCAAGAGAAGGCAGGGCACAAGCTGCCGCAGTGGGATGGGACAGGAGTGACCCATCACGGCTCCGTCCGGCCTCAACCTTGCGGCTGGGCCGGTGCTGCGCCCCTCAGCATCGGGTCAGGCGTGGTGCTGGGTGCTGGGAGAGGAGCTCTGCCTGCTCCGTTCCTGCCTCCTGTCCCTGGCTGGCAGCATCCGAAGCTGGTTTCAGGAGTTTCTGGTGATCACAAGCCTGCAGTGACCTGTGCTGAGTCCTCGCTGAGGGATGTTGGTCGGGCTGGACTCACAAGAGAAGGAAATTTGGATTTCTAAGGAAGCGCTACCATGGATTTAGGACATTTTCTAGGCAAGGAGGATCTGGGCTGAAATGCCAGGAGAGGTCAGGAGGGCTGAGCTCGGACTGAAGAAAACACTTAAGCTGAAGAGGGACCTTTGTCAAATCTATATGTGCAGATATCTGCCTCAAGTTCTTAGGAAGGTTGGAGAAACTGAATATTAATTGTGTGGGAATGGCTGTTGTTTAGCTTCCAGATGCAATTACACGACACAAGCAAGAGCTGAGGACCAAGGCTGGTTCCTCAGGTTGTAGACAGGGTAATGGTGCCTGGGAAGCTCCTGCCAGGAGTTTTTGGGAAGAGGCTGGTGACTTCTCTTGGTGTCAGCAGCCCTGTTAAATGATGCTGGTGAGAGAATGACAGGACCTGCTGGGTTGGATGGTGCTGGGCTACGGGTCTGTCCGTCCTGGCCATGCCATGTCCATGGGCAGGTTGTTCTCAAGATGTGGGCTTGCTGTAATGCCACCCAGGTCCCTAACGCTGCATCGGTCCAGTGGCTCTGGGAGGGTTCACGCGGGCCAGGTACCCATGGGAAGATGACATCTGGAAATGGAGGATATTTCCTTTTTTCTCCCCGAATGAGGATGAAATGACTGTTTCTGGAGCTGCAGATGGGCAGACAAACTGCCTGCAAGCCCACTCTGACAAACATAAGCCCAATGTGTTGCGTTTGATGGCTCTTGAGTCTGCTGGGCATTTACCTGAGAGATAAAACGATCCTTTCTGAAGGCAGTTGATACTTAGAAGGTTCGTTAAGGAGATGCTTGGATCAATCTCATCACCCAGCTGTGTGAAGCCTGCCCCTCCCATTTTTTTCCCCTTTGCTCAGCTCCTGGCTGGATCCAGAGCGGTAACAAATGTGCTGTGAGATGATTTATGGTGCTTAGGAGCTGTTGAGGTGCTCGGGAAGCAACAGTGCTCTGCTTGCCGTTTCACTAATGGCTCTAATAAAATCCAAATCAGCGTTAATGGTTTTAATATTCTTTCCATTGCATCTCCGAGGATGGTAATTACAATCAATAGGATGTATTTTCTGAAAATAATATCTCCAAATTCCACAGTCAATTAAAAACACACTTGCAGGAGAGGAAATGGCTCAGTCAGCCGACTTGCCCTCGCAAAGAGACTTGGGTGCTTGTGACAGTCTGTAGATGGATGGCACTACTGAATGAATTTTGCTGTCCACAAAGCAGGCTTATTGCAGGCAGTGACAATAAAAGCTCATCCCTGCAGCCTCCAGGCCTTCTGCAGAAGCGTTCTGTATGGCTAAGGGTGTGCTGGAGTCGGTATTTTCCCTTTTCATCACTAAAATATTCCTACCATATGCTGTCGAGACAGATAGATGCCTGTTATCTGGACCTTTGGCACTACATATAACAGATCTCACATTGGCACTGTCTGCCCAGACACATAACTTCACCTCAGGCGTGTGGGCTTGTGCATTTACAGTGTGTTCGGAAGTTACATTTGTTTCATAGGATCACAGACTGGTTTGGGTTGGAAGGGACCTTAAATCCCCCCCAGTATCCCCCCTGCCCTGGGCAGGGCCCCCTGCCCCCAGCCCAGGGGGCTCCCAGCCCCGTCCAACCTGGCCTTGAACCCTTCCAGGGAGGGGGCACCCACAGCTGCTCTGGGCACCCTGGGCCAGCGCCTCACCCCCCGCACAGGGAACAATTTCTGCCTTAGGTCTCATCTAAATCTGCCCTTTTTCAGTGCAAAACTGTCCCCCCTCGTCCCATCCTCACCCCCTGACCCAGAGTCCCCCCCCACCTCTCCTGCCCCCCCTTTAAGCCCTGGGAGGCCGCTCGAAGGGCTCCCCGGAGCCTTCTCTTCTCCAGGCTGAACCCCCCCAACTCTCTCAGCCCGGCCCCCCAGGGGAGCTGCTCCAGCCCCCCCAGCATCTCCGTGGCCTCCTCTGGCCCCGCTTGAGCAGCTCCGTGTCCTTCTGCTGTTGGGGGCCCCCGAGCTGGCCCCAGCACTGCAGGGGGGTCTCCCCAGAGCGGAGCAGAGGGGGAGAATCCCCTCCCTGGCCCTGCTGCCCCCCCTGCTCTGGCTGCAGCCCAGGGCACGGGTGGGTTCTGGGCTGCCAGCGCACGGGGCTGCCTCACAGGCAGTTTTCCCCCCCACCAACCCCCCCAGTCCCTCTCCTCGGGGCTGCTCTCCAGCCACTCCTCGTCCAGCCTGGATTTGTGCTGGGGATTGCCCCAACACACTGGCAGGACCTTGCCCTTGGCCTTGTTGAACTCCACGAGGTTTTCCTGGACCCCCCTCTCCAGCCTGTCCAGGTCCCTCTGGATGGCATCGCTGCCCCCCCGCGTGTCCCTGCACCACGGTGCCAGTGGGGAACTTGCTGAGGGTGCAAGGTCCCACTCTCCGTATTGCTGACAAAGATGTTAAACAGTGCCCAGGCCAACACCGGCCCCTGAGGAACAGCACTCATCACCACT